TATATATATATATATATATATGAAATTGTTTTAACTCGTTTCAATATTTTGGTTCGATAGGAAATAATAAGTAATAACAGTGTCAAAATAACTGTAATTATTCCTTCCACAAAATTAACCTTAACAACTACTGAAAAAAAACACTAAGCGGTCAAACTGCCCATGAACTATAGAATTCGGGTCGGGTTCCACCCTCCAAAAGTTCCATTCACTTCGAATAAACCCCTTGTTAAACCCCTAATAAATTAAAAAAATTTCCTTTTCTCCCTTCTCTATAAAGACGAAAGAGCACAGAAGACACCATTTATCGGTAAATTTCATTAACTTTTTGTTTCATGTTTGTTTAAACATGAATTAGCTACATGCGTAATTGTGAAGATTTAGGAATTTTTATCAGTAGCACGAAAATTATCACTGCACGCTATGATCTTTTGTAGCAATAGATTCATATACTGTGTGTTAAACAGACACCTCAACACGACACAAACACCTCAACACGAAGGCGTTGGATGAATCCGCACAAGCAACAAACTAGAGGCGAATCCAGGATTTGAACTTTATGTGGTTAGGAATTCCAGTGAACCCAATGACCATTTGAGTTACTGGGTTCAAATTTAATATATCTACATATTTAGTAAATATCTTAACACATATAGGGTCTGAGCCAAAACTACTGGGTTTGGCAGAACACGTAGCTAATACTATACATCCGCTCCTTCTACAAATGCATTTGCAGTAGATTCTTTGCCCACTTGACATTGTCTTTACTTCGTACATGTAGTAGTAGTAGTGGTAGAGTAGTCAATGTGATCTAGCAGGTGGACTAACAGAAATGCTTATAGATGAGGTAGGCTAAGGGTAGTTTGCCGGCAAAAGGTGTGCGTATACACATATGGAGTCTAAGGCAGTGTTGTTGGGTAACGCCAACATCCTGCCTATGGCAAGGCCCGCAAGGGAGCTCGGGTGGCCCGGGTCGGAATCATGATCGAACATGGCGCTTGCTTGGTGGCTTGATTAAGAAATAAGTTGCGCCCTTGCTATCAGCTATAGCTTTTGGCATAATGGTAAGTACTTGATCCTAACTAGTGTGTGCATTAACACTTGCTACACATATAGCAGATTCATTGTCCAGGGCATAAAGGGGTATGATGATTGGGCATCATCCTTTAGGCTAAAGTTTTCTTGGCAGATCTTGCTGTATGCTTCTTAGACTGGATTCAGACCTGTAATAAGACTTCTTGTACACAAACATGTACACAACATCGAGTTGAAGGCAGTGGGTGCAGCAGTGATTTCTAAACATACAGTAAATTCATTGCCCAGGACATAAGGTGTATTGTGATTGGACAACGTTCTCACATTCCTCGATTTTTGCTAAACTGCTAAAGTTCTTTTAGCATATTTTGCCGTATGTTCCTTTTTTTTTTTTTTTTTTTTT